AGTCTCACCCATCCCCCATCTCCACACCCAACCTTTTCCCTATGAAGATTCTTTGATGTTTAACGAGAGACCCAAAGACTGAGAGTGACTAGAGTGTGGAAAGGGATAAAAATATGTCATGGTGGTTCATTTCTAAGCTGAGATAAATCCCCTCTTAACAGGACATTTATGTAGAGTTGGAGACCAACAGATAAATAGATGTCAAATGCCCCAGGGTTCAACCTGACCTGGTTTTTAAAAGAAGAACAAAACAATAAACAACTCAGAGACAAACAAAAATACATGAATACAAATTCTTTTGGAGTCAAATAATTAAATTTAGGGCACATCAGGGACTTTTCTCTGTCCCTTTTGCCCTCCAGGGAAACCCCACCTAAAAGACTTACAATGCACATTTAAAAGTCCACTTACATGGAGTTTGAAGTTAGTTCTGGAAAGGCCATCTGTCAATAGAATCCTGTCTGAACCGAGTCCTTCATTGAATGATATGGGTGGCAGTGCTCGTCAGGTAGAAGAAATGTGATCACATATGTTAGAATACACCCAATACACGTGTCAGCCAATTATCATAATGGAGTGGAATATTTTGCGTTGTGCAGATCAAAAAAAAAACCAAAAACACAAGGACAGCCCTAGCCAGTTTTCTCAGCGGTTAAAGTATCGGCCTGTGAACTGAAGGGTCTTGGGTTGGATTTCGGTCTTGGGTTGGATTCCGGTCAAGAGCACCTCAGTTGCAGGCTCCTCCCCAGCCTGGGCCCTAGTCAGGGCGTGTGCAGGAGGCAACCAATCGATGTGTTTCTCTCACATCGATGTTTCTCTCCCTCTCTTTCACTCTAAAAAATCAATGGGAAAATATCCTTGGGTGAGGATAAAAATAAATCAATGGAAAAAATATCTCCAGGTGAGGATTACCAAAAATAAAAAAATTTTTTAAAAAATGCACAAGGACAATATTTTTTTTTTCTTAAAAAATATATTTTAAGCCGAAACCTGTTTGGCTCAGTGGATAGAGCATCGGCCTGCGGACTGAAAGGTCCCAGGTTCGATTCCGGTCAAGGGCATGTACCTGGGTTGCGGGCATATCCCCAGTAGGAGATGTGCAGGAGGCAGCTGATCGATGTTTCTCTCTCATCGATGTTTCTGGCTCTCTATCTCTCTCCCTTTCTCTCTGTAAAAAATCAATAAAATATATTAAAAAAAAAAAAATATATATATATATATATATTTTATGCAAAGAATAGGAGCAATTTTCATGGTAGTCTGAGTTTTGTTTATAGATATGCGATGATTATGTTATCTCTGAAATTGGTGGCTGCTGAGATTCAGAAAATGCCCTGTGTGCTTCTCTAAGAGTTGAAAAAGGAGAGGTGTCCAATGTTCCTTGGGACCAAGGAATAATATGAAACCAGATAATGAAGAGTTAAGAAAAACTCAGCCTGCTAATGAACTCCATCCTGCCTTGGTGAGACCACCCTCCTTTTAAGTAAGAGGTAATTTAATATGCATCTAACTCGGTTGTGTTTGGGCTTCATCCAATCTAAGAGTATCCGTGTGATAAATTATAACGAATTGTCTGCAATACTTCACAGAGTGACTATAACAGACCTGAAAAACAAGATCCCTGAGCCTGATTTTCCAGCTCTCTTCGAATACTTTTCGCCTTATTCAGACCCCTCCAAAACTTGAAAATGTTTCTTACAGCTCTCCCACACGGAAAGCTATGCGCTCTGAGCCCCATTTGATTAGATCCACAGTTGTTGGCTGTCTCTATTAAATCAAGCCCCACACTTGAAAATGACACCAACAGTGAGACCAGCCAAATAACATAAGGAGAGAACTAGCATGGCTCCTTCAGTTTCCAAAGGGTTTCTTTACATGTTAATTTCCTTTTGTAATCCCCACTGGGTGTGCTGGGAAGTAGGTTAGTGACACGGACTTGATTCCTATTTCAGATTCTAAAAAAGCACCTGGATCCAGGCACCCAGTGTCTGTGGGGAAAAGGGGCAGAGGCTGAAAAGGGATCAAGAAACTCAAGTTCAAGGAGGGCCTGTCACTACTGCTGTGAAACTTTGTTCCTGTCACTTAACTTCTTTAAGGGCACAGTTTCTTCATTTAGGTTAAAAGCTACTGCCCTAGAGAAAAGGCCAAGTCCTTTTCTTTTAATGGCTTTCCATTGTTCCAGCTCTTCAAGATGCAAAAGCAGGACTGTTATCCTAAAGACATCCTTCATAAATAAAAGCGATTGGATTGGTATTAAGCTGTTTCCTTTCCTGGTCAGAGGACAGCCGTCTTTAGGGTAACACACAAAATTTGTGTCGAAGAAGAGGCGGAATGGGAAATTTTTTTTCATATTCACATGTTACAGATGCTGCGTAAAGATCCATGAGCTGGTATTTAGAACGGATTCTCTGGGTGAAAATCATGCTGATTGTATCAGCTTAATTTCCTCACAGGCCAAATAAAATGGGCACTTTGAACTTGTGAGCCTTCTAAGAGCAGGAGACCACACGCTTCTCTTTTCTCTGTGCTGTGTTTTGTGCCTAAGACGGTTCCTAAGAGTGAGTAGTTTGTACTCATTTCCTATAGGGGCTGTAACATGTTACCACCCACTGAGCGGCTTCAAACAATAAAGATTCATTATCCTACAGTTCTGGAGCCCATGGCAGGGCTGCATTCTCTTCTGGAGGCTCGAGGGGAGAATCAATTTCCCTGCCTTCTTTCCAGCTCGTGAGGCCGGCCTCGTTCATTGGCTCATGGCTGGTCACCTTCCACCTTCCAAGCAGCAATGGCCCGTAGAGTCTTGTTCACATCACATCACTTTGATTCTGCTTCCATCATCCTATTTCCTTCTGAGCCTGACTCTCCTGCCAGCCTCTCATGTATAAGGACTCTTGTGGTCCCAGTGGGTCCACCCAGTTGATTCAGGATCCTTAACTGAATCCCAAGATCCTTAACTGAATCCCATCTGCAAAGTCCCTTTTGCCATGTGAAGTAACATATTCCCAGGTTCCTGGGATTAGGAGGTGGACATCTTTGGGTGGCCATTATTCTGCCTACCACAGCATTTAATACATATTTGATCAACCTGTAAATATTTTGAGAAAATGGTAAACTAAACACTTCGAATTATTTGTTAGTTTAGGTAATTCCTACAGCCCATCACTAGCCAAAGTCAGGATCACATGCACACTCTGCACTGCTGATCCCTCCCAGACACAGGGCCTTCATACTCATTTAACCTCATGGTCACTGGACCCTGATTTGGCTTAAAAAAATGCACTCTGGTCCTATTTTGCTGGGTGGACAGACTGTAACCTGCTGTGACATATTTTCCTAACCAAGTTAAGTGACTTGCTTACTGTCATATAGAGACAAAGTTATAGCCATAATAGAGATTTAAAACTCCTGTCCACTTCTTTTGTAACTTGGCTCACATTAAACTCCTTTTTCCAATTACCATTAAATCACATCAACCAACAAAAAAAGAGGAGCTGGTCATCTTCAGGCAGGAGTAGAGGCACAGAGCATTTTGAAATCCTATCAGAGAAAACCTAAGTTCTGCCATTATTAACAACCTCCGAGTCTTATATCTTCTCCTTCCAAAATAACCCCACAAATCTAAGTCACAATCACCTTTCCCACCAGAGGTGCTACCAACCATCATGTCAATCAAGGTCCATACATCTTATGTCAAAACTTTCAAATTTGTCCTAATAAGTTATCTCCAACTGCCACCCAACTCTTCTCCCACCAATGTAGTTTCAGGATAATTTTTGCAGGCAACCAAGAGGAACTTTAGTGATGGACAATTCCATATTTTCCTTTGGAAGTTTGGAAAGGAGTTTTTAGGGGTAAAACAGACAGGTTTAGGCAATTTTAGAAATTAAGGGTCCATGCAAAAAGCACAGGGCTACAGAGCTGCAAAGGGCACATTTCCATAGACTAAGGGAGCTGGTAACCGCAGAAGGGATACATTTATAAAATAAAGGGAAGAAGCCCCACATCCAGAGGGGAAGAAGAAAGCCCAGAGGGGATAGGGAAACAGTAAGGGAGAAGGAGGGAACCTCACGTACTTCGTGTGAGGTTTGAGCTTTGGAGTCGCTATAGTGTCCAATCTAAGGGGGATAGTGACCAATAAAGGGGATACCAAGGCACAAAGATCTGAAGCCTTTATAAACTAGAGAAGAGGGACTTAGTAGGGCTCTTTCCCCCTCTCCACGTGAGAGTCTATACTTGTTTCTCAATAAATTTCCACCTTTTGCTATACCACCTTTCGTCTGTGGTTTCCTTCTTCGGCTCCACAAGACAAAGAACCCAGGAATCATCCCGCCCAGGGTAACACCACAATTTTCCCCTATCAGTTTTCCAATTGTTTTGAAACTACTGACATGTTAAACCTGTTAGTCTGTGTGACTTGGGTAAACCAGTTAAAACAATCACAGGAACCTCATCTTATCTTTAATTTAATTATAGTATTAAGAAAGGGATGACAACCTACGATATTTGTCCAAGGCCAGTTCTATCAATGTATCATCTATAACTGGTGTCAAAGAGTAATTTGGAATAATTGAAAATTAATTAAACACTGTATGTTGAGAGAAGAGATAAATATTGAAAATCAGATTGACATGCAACAACACTTCAGAATTTTATACCCCGGCATTCTTCTATTTTAAATCTGGCAAGGATACCATATTATATCAGTTACAAAGTCCACAGATTCACTTATTGATTATCTTAAGTACAAACAGAATAACTCTCTGTGGCCTAGAGGAAAAAAATTGTGCAAGACTCAGAAGGTGTAAATTCTCCTGAGCAATTTTCTCTGCAATTCTCGTAGGCCGTTAAATATTTAGCACCTACTGTTTGTATATATAAACCTAAGGTGGGTTTAACAAACCATATAGCTCTCACTGAAGAATGAGAATTTCTTTTCTTTTTTTTTTTAAATACAATTTCCATTTATTATCCCCCAAGAGAACTTTTCTTCACTCTTTAAAGACTCAGCTCCTTACATGGGCTTTGGTGGAGGTCGTGGGGCAGCACTGGCAGGTCTAAATCGGGGTGGGGGTGTTTGGTCCTTCCGGGCTTCATGAGAACGATTCCTGACTACCTTGCTGTGAATGGCACAGCTCACACAGTAATGCAGCTTCACATACAGCTTGGGAAGCACATGGGCGTCAAAGACACTCGCTTTGGAGATGTCCCGAACGGCTGCGGCCTCCACTATGTTTCGAATGACAAACTTCTTAATGGCCTTGTCCTTGGGCATGCACCGGGCGCAGTTGGTGCAACGAATAGGCTGCACATGGCCTTGGCCTTTTTTGGCACGACCATTATTCCTTCTTTTCTTGGTCATCTTGGAAACGAGGACCCGAGAGAGCAAGAATGAGAATTTCTGTGGGAAAGTCTAGTTCAAAGGTAAATAAATTTCTATATATTTTTCCTAATTTAATTCTGTATTCTTGAACATAAGCCTTAAAATGTAAAGAAAGTGGGCAAACATATATATATATATATATATATATATATATATATATATATACACACACACACACACTAGAGTCCCGAGTGCACAAATTTTTGTGCACTCGGGGGTAGGGGGTCCTCTCAGCCCGGCCTGTGCCCTCTCGCAGTCTGGGACCCCTCAGGGGATGACCACCTGCTGTCTTAGGCCTGCTCCCCAGGGGATTGGGCCTAAGATGGCAATCAGACATCCCTCTGGCAGCCCGGCAGCCCTCGGGGGATGTCGCACTGCTGAGGAGGCAGGAGAGGCTCCCAACACCACCGCTGTACTGGCAGCCATCAGCCTGGCTTGTGGCTGAGCAGACCTCCCCCATGTGGGAGCGCACTGACCACCAGAGGGCAGCTCCTGCATTGAGCATCTGCCCCCTGGTGGTCAGTGTGTGTCATAGTGACCAGTCATTCCCAGTCTTTCTGCTGTTAGGGTCAGTTTGCATATTACCCTTTCACTATATAGGATAGAGGCCTGGTGCACGGGTGGGGGCCGGCTGGTTTGCCTTGAAGGGTGTCCCGGATCAGGGTGGGGGTCCCGTTTGGGTGCCTGGCCAGCCTGGGTGAGGGGCTGATGGCTGTTTTCAGGCTGGCCACACCCCCTTTGGGGGGGGTCCCCACTGGAGTGCCTGGCCAGTTTGGGTGAGGGACTGAGGGCCATTTTCAGGCTGGCCGGCGACTGAAGCTCCCAGCCTCTCCTTTTTTTCTTTTTTCTTTTTTTAATTCTGGGATTTATTTACCTTCTATAATTGAAACTTTGTTGCCATCACTGGAGCTGAGAGCTAGGCTCCTGCTCGCTCCAGCTCTGAGGCCACGGCCTGCTGAAAGCAGGTATCTGGGGTTTGTTTAGCAGAAGCTTCTATAATTGAAACTTTGTTGCCGTCACTGGAGCTAAGAGCTGGGCTCCTGCTCGCTCCAACTCTGTGGCCACGACCTGCTGAAAGCAGGTATCTGGGGGTTTTTTAGCTTCTATAATTGAAACTTTGTTGCTTTCGGACTCAGAGCCAGGCCGCGGCAGGCGGGGAACCTTGGCTTCCTCCATCACTGGAGCAAGCAAGCCTCCTGCTTGCTTCAGCTGTGTGGCTTCCAGCCGCCATCTTGGTTGGGTTAATTTGCATATCTTGCTGATTAGCCTATGGGAGGTGTAGCGAAGGTATGGTCAGTTACCATGTTTATCTATTATTAGATAGGATATATCTATCTATCTATCTATCTATCTATCTATCTATCTATCTATATAGAGAGAGAGAGAGAGAAAGAGAGAGAGAGAGAGAGTTGATAATATTTAATATCAAGAAGCAGGACAAATAAAGTTGACTTCCAAATAACTACTTCTGGAGTCAGAAAACGTCATAACTTGATGGCAATAATGTCTTTCATATGGCAAATAGAAGGTACTGTGGAAAGTTCTGTGTCTATATTTGCCAGTCAAAGGCAAAGTTGAAGAAATTGATTGAAGGCATAAAAAAAATTTTTTTTTAATTAAACTACTTTTTCCCAAGGCAATCAGACCAGGAAGGCAATAAGAGTTTCATTTTCCTGTATACCTGTTTTTCACCCAACTCCCTTCCAAATGCAGACAAGGGCTCTAGCTAGCTACAAGTGGTCACACATCTGGAAGACTATTTTAAAACACATTCAAAATGTTTTGACTACATGATGCCAAGCATCTGGCAATACAAACTTCTCTTAGGTATTTTTCTTCTATAGAATTCAGTCTTGTGTAGACAGCCACTGTGCCAGATTTTGAACTACACGTTTTATTTGTGGAATGATGGAAATACATATGCAAAGGTAAGGTTTTCTTTATGATTTTGATTTAGGTAGATTTAAATGATGTTAACAGAGTTGCCATTGATTCTTGCATTATTTGAACTCTCCCTCTGCCCTCAAAAGCCCTTCAGTGGCCTCTACTGGTCATTCCCACCCCAGGAACATTCTCTCCCAGATGAGCAGCACTCGCTTGTCTAAATACTAACTGACTTTATTGGTTTCATTCCACAGCAAAGATGAGGAAAAGCGAGGCTTCTAGTTTTCCCTGTCTAATAGGAACCAGCCTTAGGAATACCTGTGGTTCACCAACCATCCCTAAACCATTTGCAGGATCTTGAGGTAGGAGGTAGGTATTCTTCATGTGAGGTCGCCTCCCTCTAAATGCAGACTAGCTCAGCCTTTCAAAGGCCTTTTCCACAAACTAAGCTAACTATCCCTATCTCCACTCCATTTTCAACTTTTATACTAAGTCCTAAGCCTGATGATACCACAGTGGGTAAACTATGCACGAATTATCTGAGTTTTGTAGCTTGCAACCTACCACAGATCACACATTCTTGCTTTTGAGTTTGGAGAGGAGGAATAAATTCATCTTCATCATGTACACACCATCTTGAGGCCTTGCCACCTAGCACGGTGCTAGACACAACAAATATCTACTGAACTGCTTTGGATAAAATGCAGTCTGCTCCAGATCACCACATTTCAAGCATGCAATAAAATTAAACAGTAGCCAGGTTTGAGCCTACACAGTGTTCACAATTTGGACAGTCTTGAATAGCTGACTAGTGGGACAGGTCTGCCAGAACCCTGCTTGCATTAGGGTGCTACTGAGAAAATACAAAGACTATACGTATCATAAACTTTGGAGACAGTGGCACACCAGCTTGCATTACTTAGGCATCCTCGGGACAAAGAATATACACTTAGGGGAGAGAATCATTCTGTCTCCTTCTTCATGAACATTCCCTGACCGGACTGGCTTCAGTTCTACCAGTCACTGGGCTGGTCAGGTTGCTGGGGCACGATCAGCAACGATGGCACTGCAGCCGTGGAGGCCAGCGAATGGTTGTGAAGGTCACTCTGGAGGTGAGTGACGGCCAGCTCTGGGGTGCCGGGTGGGAAAGGCAATGGGGCTTGGGTGCTGGAGTCCAACAAGCTGCCGTTAGCATCACCGGTGGTCCTCGGAACCCCTTGCAGCCTTCTTTGGCAGCTCCCAGGAAAAACATGGGGGGAATTTGAAGAGCTCAGAAACCCTAAATTGCAGATGAGGTGACAACTACAGAAATATGGTTTATATTTTTAACAAGATCTCATTTAACTAGTCATATGTGATCTAGGAAAACCTGGATTTGATAAACGGATTTCATACAAAGATAAAAATAGGAAAAACAACTTTTATGACATCAAGCAACATATTTTGCTATTTTATAACATATAGCATAAAATATTGCTATTTCACTTTTAAATATATTTTAAATCAAGTATTTGAAGCAGTTTCATGATTCTCTAAGTTAAAAACCTACCCAAGAAAGATGTAGAAAGCATCCTAAAGGGTTAATAGTTCTAAGGTAGAGAAAGTCCTTTAACTCAGAATTCCTCAAGAAAATCAGCTTTATCTGTAGGTTTTACAAATAACAGCAATTGGTGGCTAATCTTTCTAACCTTTAGTCAGTTTTGTGTTGATGAAAAAACAGAATCAGGGATTATCACTTCTACAAAGACTGTTTAGACATCGAAGTGACATAATCACTATATAAAATATAATTCCAATTATCTCAGTTTTAAACACTGAGTAAAAATCATTTCATTTTCTACCAGGGAAACTATTTTAATAATTTTAACCGCTTTTTAGATTACATCAATTCTTTGAGATGAAGTATGACGGAGAATCAAAATAATCTTTGTAAATTGAGCTCTATTGCAAAAAATGATTTCCATTCTTCAGCAGGGATATTAAGGGATAACCTTTCGAGTGTCTTTCCCGTGCATTTCTCTTCTTCCTCTACCTCTCCCGTCTTTCCCAGCTCAAAGCAAACCTGACACGTGAAAACAGACTCTGCTTAATGACCCCTTCCCTCTGCTTTCTCCCATTCTCTTTCATTCTCCTTCCCAACTTTGCATCTCTCTTCTCATTTTCCTTTTTTCTTTCCGGGGAATGACCACCTCAAAGGATTAATTCAGAACAGGCAGCAGAAAATGGTAACAAGAGTGGGCAAATCAGGATGTGGATTTAAAATCAAGAGGTATTTTAAAGGAGGAGAGTTACTCAAATTAAACATATGTTAAGAATATGGGTTTGTTGTTCATGGCATACCTGCTGCCTGTGATCCCACCCTCAGCGGATCAGCCTTCAAGGGCAGAGCATTCCCTAGTGGAATAATAAATACAGCGGCCTGAGAGGATAGGGATCTAAGCGGCCCAGCGAGCTTCCTTTCCTCTGGGTCTGACTTCGCTGTTGGAACACAGGTGGTAACTGAACTAGCTGAACTAGCGAAATGGATCGTGGCCCCTCTGGCTCAGAGCCAGAGAGAATAGAATTCAGTCTCCAAATTATCAGGCTCTGGGCATATATAAATTCTAATATAGATCTTGGCATAAAGAGCAAACTTCATTTTAATGGATACTGCCTGTTTTCCAACCCATCATCTTTCTTACCGTGATACATGTGAACTGCGCAGTAAAAAGTCCATTCATTGGTCACTTTAAAAACACGCTGTGCCTAACGTTAGCATGTTTTTTTTTGGGCTAACCTGCCATCGACATGAGGGTATGGCAGATGTGTTCTGCAGGTAAAACTGAAAGCCTTGCCCTATATTCTATACTTTCATTCTTCCCAATGTAATGTATTTTGCAGTCCTCGGCTGTCCTAGAATTATGTACCCAAACATTATTGATATGAGCTAGTCAACTATACTTATTAAAAGCAGAAACTATATAAAGTAGAAATATATGATTTATTTGCTCATTTATATCCTTCCTTACTTTAGAGGTGTTTTGAGGTTCAGACCAGTAATATAATATATTTATGGGCCGAATTCATTCTACTGATAGGCAAGATTCTACAGTCGTAGGTCCCTCAAGATAAGAATCCATGCTATAGACAACATTAAA